AGAGAGAGAGAGAGAGAGAGAGAGAGAGAGAGAGAGAGAGAGAGAGAGAGAAGAGAGAGAGAGAGAGAGAGAGAGAGAGGGAGAAAGAGATAGCAGTATCCCCTTTATGGGTGAAGTATACACCCCTATCTGTTAAAAAGTATTAATGATCTGGCATGTGAATGTATAGCAGGGCCTATACATCACAAATTCACTTGATATATATGCTTGTGTATGGTCAAGCTATGGTTACACTACAGCCAATACGACGAATCAGCTGAAAATCAATCATAGGAAAGAGTAGAATTGGCTACAACTACCAACAAAAACATTAGTGATAATATTCTTCAAATATCACGAGTATCAATCGAAAGTAATATACTTGGTAGCTTTAGGTGTACTTCCATATTACGCAATCTCTCCTCCACTCCAATTGAGATATCAGGCTTTTCTTCTTTAACAGCCACATCTGTCAAGTTCCTTTTGCATGTGTATGCATCTGATGTGCGCATTTGTGGACCATAGTGATTCACAACTCTTGTCACTAGAATTGAATTTTTTTAAACATGATGCAGTTTTGCATCGCGCCAAATTGCATTGCGCTTTCAGCAAAGAAGCCAAAGTTCTTGTCATGGCGCCATAATCTATTAACGAATAAGAGTTTGATTAAGAGATAACAATTTTTCTAAAATGCTAGTTAACTATAAGGCTATAGGCAACTTAAAATGCTTGTATATACAAAATACACACCTCTAACATGACCTTTTTGCCCAACACTTGGTATAAACACTGAAGATGTCCTTGCACAGGTGCTTTCTGAAAAAAAAGAATTATTTATTTTCTATGGCCAGGGGCATGTACAGGGGGGGTCCAGGGGGTCCGGACTATCCCCCCCCCCACTCGCGCAGAATGTCCGTTATATTTTTATTAAAGGGAGAGTTTACTCTAGGTTCTAGGGTTATTTTCAGCTAATTTAGGTTATAATTACGCTACATAAAAAGTTTCATGGTTCAATCACCATTAGAAATATTTAAAAAAAATGTTTTAAAACTAACGACTACAGTTTGATTACAACGACGGTGGCGCCACTAAAAGCGCACGATCTGATAAGTTGCGCAAAACCACTTTCTAGCCAATGGTTACAGACCGAGGGTGTTTCTTATTTATTCATTTAAAAGCAAAACGATTGTAATATCTTATAAACGACATATAGTTTCAGTTATAATATGGATAAATTTGCCCTAAAATGAATATCGTTCGGTTAAATAGCATTTAGGTATAAATATAATTGCACTTTTGTGATTAGCCCTCAGTCTGTAACGTGCAAAATAAATTGTCAAATACGCAACTTTTTCGGGGTGGCAGCACGGTCGCGGGTGTCATGGCGCCGTTCAAATTTCGTAGCGTTGATGTGTAATTAATTATAACAATTAAATTAGGTATCTGGTAACAAGTACGTGTGGGTATAGACGATTTGTTATACAGTAAGTACAGTTGTATGCAGTAAAATCCTAGAGCCTCCTATCTCTTTGAACGTTTTATTTTATTTTAAAATAATAAAATTGTCTAAGATGTTAATGCACCAGACAAAAATGGCATTGATGCACATATCAAGATGAAGTTATTGTGGTGTCAGATGCGAGGAAAACACATCTGAGGGGGTCTAATTTCAAAAAATTTCTGGTGGAAGGGCCCCCCAGACACCCTCTTCGCCGCATGTTTGGGTTACGGTTAGACGCCCACCCCCACCTGGTACAAATCCTGTACACGCCCCTGATGGCTTTTATTATATGGCATATGTCATAATCATCATAGTCGGCATCATCTAATTAGCAATGTATTCAATACATTCGTCAAGATAATGACTATTTTGCTTTTGTATTTTTGAGTCGCCCCTTTTTGGCGGGGCGGTCGTGTGAGGGCAAACAAACAATATTTATTTTTTATTTTTTTTTATTATGGCCTGACATTGTAGGAAATGCGGTGCAGGTGGAATATGAAGGTTGCATAGTTTATTAGGTGGGCTGTGTGCGAGATGCAACAGAGCTAATAATCATTTTATTTGAGAAACACGTATATAGTTGTTCAACAATTAACATCATAGAGATGTGAGAAAGAGATCATCCCAAAAAGGCTGTGTATTGCCCGTAGGCGTCGTTACTAGTCTGGTCGTGCGGTATATGGTAACGTCCCAGTTAGCCTACTCCAATTTCGTCTACTCTCAGAATTGGCAATATTCCCATTTCGCCTACTCCCATCGTTTCATTTTTATGCAACTGTATTTTCTATTTTTGTCAAGTTGACTGTTGTGTTCTCATTATTTGTACCTATGTTTTCTTCTGGTTCCTGTAGTCTATGTAATAGTAGTATGTGTGCCAATTAAACCATATTTTATTATTTATAAATGATTATTTAGTGAACAACCCGATCATAGATGAAATGGGAATGGGGTAGATTTTGAGCATAGACAAATTGGTAGTAGGCGATATGGGTGTAGGCTTGTACCGTAGAGATTGGACGCTCGCCCGAAACTGGTCGCTCCGTAGGCATGCTCTTTTGTTTTGCTCTTGTTTTCTTTTTGTTTGAATCTTGTTTTGCAGAGCCGTAGGAAATAGTAGCCATGCTCTTTTGTTTTCTTTTTGTTTCGCCTTGTAACCTGACACACATAACACAGTCTTACTAACTTACCACATATTGCAAATTGTTTCAATCAAATGTTTCCATCAGTGACCGGGTTGCCCGCCATGTTTGTTTATTGCAACCGTTTTCGAGCGTCCAAAATTCTACGGTACAGGCCAACTGGGAATTTTGCTGTAGGCGAAATGGGAATTTTGCCGTAGGCGAAATGGGAGTAGGCCAACAGGGAATAAACCCAGAAACAGGTCCTGCAGCCCGGTTCAGTGGTTGGGTTAATATAGTCCGAGCCGACGCAGACCCCAGTAATGGGGATAAACCCGCACCCTCAGATTAGCAAAGCAGAGTTATAACGTCTGCATGTGCGGACTAGGGTTAATAAGGCTTGTAGGGTCTATGTCCCCCTGACCTCTGTTTGACCTGGCTCGTTTAGCTATTTCTGACTAACCCTAACCCTATCCCGGTGCAAATCCACTTTAGGCACCTTAAGTATCACGAAGTGATGCACAGATTTCTGTGTGTCATCAACTGATGCACAGACTTTCCGTATATCAAGAAATGATGCATAAACCCTAACCCTAACCCTAGCTCTAACCCTAACACACTTTGTGATACCTATGCCTAAGGTTATACTTTATGACTTAGGGTTAAGGTTAGGGTTTTTGCATCATTCCTTGATATACGGAAAGTCTGTGCATCAGCTAGTTGTCAGTTGATGATACACAGAAATCTGTGCATCACTTCGTGATACCTATACGGTGCCTAAAGTGGATTTGCGCCCCCTATCCCTATATATATTATATATATATATATATATATATATTAATTATTATTATTAGTCAGAAATAGCTAAACGAGCCAGGTCAAACAGAGGTCAGGAAGACATAGACCTTATCCTTATCTGCGTTAATAAGCTCTAAAGCTGCATAATAATGATAAGCACAGAAAGTTTATTGGGCACCTGTGTGAAAAGTCTCAAATCCACAAAATTCTCTTTTGTTACTATAGTCGACTTCTTCTCTCTTCCTGCTGATAAACGATAAAATCCTGCGCTCGACTTCTGCTTTGTTTGCCGTAATCTGCACTAAAGCTGGCAATGAAACGTAACGCCCACTGCCACTGGCACTGGCTTTGCCAGAATCTCTAATATCGCAATCTTCTCCACCTGCACAGGAAGTGGGTATTATATCCTCCATCACATATACTGTGATATTTAGAACATAGCCACTCTGTTTGATGGCAAAAATTGCACGTGAATTTTAATGTGTAACTTTCAATCGTGCCATGGCCATGGGCGCAGACATATTTGTTGTTTATTCAATTTTCCAGCACTCTGCCACTATCACACATAAAATTACTATAACGGTCACCTAAAAATGTTTTATAAAAAAATAACCGAACTGTTTACAATTTATAATTTTATTAGTATAACATTGAAATATATACGTGATTTCTAGCAACATGACGAAATAAATTAAAATAATTAGTCTATCTATTCAAACGATAGATGGCAATACGCACCCATAAGGTTTTAAATGTTTGCTATGATTGGTTACTTCTATATTTGTAGGCGGGGCAAACCGTAGGTCGCGCCAAATTTATCTGCAGAAGACCGTTTGTAGTGTTTCAACTTGCTGGGTAATGTATGAATATTGCTTTATTTCGCTAATACTAATAATAATAATAATAATAACGTTGCTTAAATTTCGTTCATCATAAAGAGTTCATCAATATCTGAGCAGTAGCAATTTGTATTCAAGTTTACGTATGTAATGTAATGATGAGTTACGTGATGATGACATTGATGAAGTTATTCCAAAACCGTACGTCCGTAGGCCCTACCGTACCTGTGACTGTGTTATGGTATGTATTGTACCGTACAATGTACGGTAACGTTACCATCATTTTATGTTTTAGACGGCTCAAGCTACCGTGTAACGTATCACATACAGAAACTCAGCTTAAACTTAAATGCATGGGACCCATATCCCCTACTACTACTAGCTAGCGACCCCAACACATGGGCATCGATCATCATTATCATCATTAACATTATTATTATAGTTATACAATGCATCATCACCAAACACTAACCCCTAAACCAGCTGTACCACTGCAAATAATTGCAATATAAAACAGTGATCACATGTTGCCACAGTCAAACATGATGCACTCGATCCCAAGGTAAGGTTGGTATAATGCTAAAAAATATAGTTATACCATAATAGGAACGATGTATAGCTTAGCAGTAGCTCTAGTAGTGAGTAGTACTATAGCCCTCCGCTCTGCCGCAGGCCGCCTGTGGCGGAGCGGAGGGCTATAGTACTAGAGCTAGCTTAGCAGTAGAATGTATGATTAAGGGCTTTCAATGTGAGCCTAATTTTAGACTTTGTGCTATAGAATAGGATATACTCATATATTCGTATATAGTAAAATATAGTAGGCAGTATATACTATACAGACTATAGTCTGGGACTGTCATTTATAACCAGTGATTTGTTAGCATAAATGATAATTAACAAACAGGTACAACTAGCTGTTCGATTGTTTTATAAAGAAAAGTGGAAATCAGCTCATTTTGAATCAACCATAGGTATGATATCGATTTAAACAAATATATCTGAGATTCATGAATCTTTTGTGCAATAAACAATGAATCTTGAACATCCTACACCAGTGCATATCCTAGTGTATATCGTATATATTTGCTTGCGGAATTCTAATTTGATGCTTTACTATTTCTAGTGTGGCCACGTGACGGAATATTCTGCTAACAGCCATGTCCACCGAATTTGAGCACATCTCCTTGCTTCCAATGCAATGCGGCGACAACTTTGACACGGAGGTCAGCAACACAAATTTCGACCCGTCAGCAGCAGGCTATCAAGATTTCACCTCTGCTCCGTTTTCTGCGCTCCCACCACTGCTGCGGCACGCGGATGAGTCCAACCCAGGTTTTACGCGAACAGGGAAGATGTGCAGCGACCGGCTGCCAGCGCAGGCGGCACAAGCACCACAGCCGCTCTGGCAGCAGCAACGAACTGACGTACGTGCGAGTGGCGACCGTTCCCAGTTAATAGCGGGGGGATCCTCAGCCGGCCCCTCTGTCGGCGGCGGTCTGAAGAGGCCGCTATGGGATTCAACAAACACAGTGACGCGTGGAGCGACTTTGCGAGTGGAGGGGACACCCACCAAGACTCTGATTGGGAGTCAGCTCGACCCGCTGACACCCACCGCCAACCTAAAGCTGCTGTTTAGCGCCATGAGCCCTGAGATTCGCAACCGCGACAGCAAGAAAAAGAAGCAGCTGTTCGACGAGTGCAGTGGTGATGTTGCAGCGTCGGTGCAGGAAGCAGCAGGTGATGGCGGGAATGAGGCAGTATTGGAAGGTTGTGAGGGCGGTGCTTTTATTGAAGATGCAATATTTAAAACAAGTCGCAAGGACAAGTCTTTGAGATTGCTATGCATGAGGTGAGAATATAGTATAAATATAATATAATATAGGTATAAACAGATACAAATAGTCTACGTGTGGGCTGTGGAGCTGTGAATTAACTGCTACAATTTATTGTAGTTAGTATAGATAAAAGAGAGAGGAGTTAAAACTAATTCTTTTTAAAGAATGTTACATTTTGTTTCAATGAAATTTTCACGTGTTTCAGGTTTCTGGCAATGTTTCCAAATGACACTAGTGTACAAATATCCATGTGCTTGGATAAGATTGCTAAGCAATTGTGTAAGTATATAATACGAGTTATGTGTTCCTGATTGTAAATTTTGTATAGATTGTTCTTTTGTAGGGTGCATGGTTACGTTACTTAAATTTGTTTTAGTCTTGCTGTAGATGTAATATTATTTCTAAATCTAAAGCAATATTGATGGATTTTCAGAGCATTTGTACAACCTTAATGCATTATGGGGATAGGAGGAGGAATGTCTTGAGTAATTATTATGAAAACGTCATGTCTATGGGGAGTGTTATGTCTAAAGATGAAAGTGGATCACAAACTTGATTATGTCTGGTATAGAAAGACTTTGTGTAGGAAAATTTGACAGGTTCCTTATTTGCACAATGATTTGTTAACTCAAGTAAGGCTAAAGGATTGCATGACAGGTCCGCTGCCTTGTTCACAGAAGTGCTGCCACGTAGCCTTTGTCTTGCTAACTGATGAGCTTGTATAGCATAGGGCTTGTCTTGACCCAAGCAACAATTAGCAAGTCTCTGTAAACTGGTAGCAGGCAGACTATTTGTGCTATGGACCTTGGTGTTGTGATAGTAATTAAGAGGCTGAGACAGTGCTGTCTGCGCAAGTTAACTATTACTGGGTCTGATACTACTAAGTTTTTTGGCATACAGTAGCATATGGTCACTTGCACAGTTGGTTAATTTGGATTTAGAATGTTATATATGTTGATATATATAGTTATCATGCTTATACTGGCATTCCATGCCCCAGCATCTTTACAATAACTGTTTCTAATAAATATTACAATGTCATATATTCATGTTTTAATCAATTAGATTAATTAACGTTCTCACAAGTTACGGTGCTGATCCGCTCATGGCTTTTACCATGAACTAATGTATATTGAGTGTGAATTCGATAATGTATTAAAACGTTTATGCCTGTATTAGTTTGCTCTCCATTATACCTTGAAATACTTACAGTTATTTTACTATTACCTTGCCTTTGCTGAGGTCATTCTGGCCACACCTCACTGCTGCAGTTACCATATGCAACCCATGAGATCCAGAAAATTGGCCAGGGAAATTTGTTTACAAAGAGAACTGTAGTATAAAAAGCTGTAGCCTAGGCATAAAAAAGTAAGGAGTGAGACATATGGATAGTAGTTCTAGATCGATCTTCTAGTTTCTAATAGTACAGAGCTCAGATTAGCCCCCGGTGACCTACTAAACAAAAACAACTACTGTGCTGCTACTGATTGCATAGATTGTTCAATTATTCTGCTGGGATTACGTTAAGTGGTTGCCGACCTCATTCATAATAAGATCTCCACAGGTTACTGATTACGTCTGCAAATCTTGATGGCCGCTGCATCCGTTGACGTGGTAATTGCGCGTGTGATTACAGGAAGCACTATGTGATTACACGCACCGACTTATTTCCCCCCCCCTCCCCCGTGTTCTACAGGTACGGAGCGCCGCCGCATCTACGACATCGTTAACGTGCTCGAGAGCGTCGAGATCGTGAGCCGACAGGCGAAGAATCAGTACTCGTGGCACGGGCGCGCTCAGCTCACCAACACCCTGCTGAAGCTGAAGGTAACCATAACTACGCGGGTGTCGATCGTCGCCCAACAACTAATTACGACAGCCGGCCGCGCGTGCCTGAGTGAGAGGAATGGCCGCAGGGTGCAGACAACGGCCACACAGTGGGGAATCTATCTATTACATCTGTTTAGGTGCCGGTTCACGTGGGTCATTATAACGAATCGTTATCAAGGGTGGAGCTCTACAGGCATGATTAAGGTGGCGAAAAAGGGCCAGATTCTGCATGATTAGCTTCGTCTAAGACGACATGCGTGTGGATAGTTCTTAAGAGCACTCGTCAGAACTCTAACTGGTACCTATCTGTTACGATGCTGCCACACAGGGAGTATGCAGAAGCAGAGCGAGTGGCACAGGTCGAAGTGCGCGAATCACAATCTTAACTTCATCGTTCACATGAACTTTCATCAAGATTTGTAACTATAATCTGACGTGCTGCGAACTGCCTGCAAGTGTATTGCTGCTATTTCGATGAAACCTGCGTGCAGTGAAAAAAATACACGGGGGCTCGGGGCGATTTGGCCCCCGAAATGCCAAAAAAAGCCCCCGTAAATTTGCATAGAGTTCAATGCAAACCAAATTTTAGAGTGCTATTTTCATGCACGCGAGCTTGAAAAGTAGCCCCCAAAAAATAAATTTTTTCCCTGCCTGCGTGTGTACGTATTCTCACTTCATGCACGTGTGTGCAAGTCGCTCTGCTAATTAATCATCCACAACATTGCTCCAGTAGAGCATAGATTTCGAGCAAATTGAATTTACTAGAGATAATGGTTGGTGCAAACAAGCGCTACAGTACTAAACAATCATAGCCACGTATGAGATTTCCTAGCTACATCTAATCAACTGACCTTCAAAGCTATCAATAACTTATAACCATTCATAGCCATCACTAGCAACGTACAGGAAAAACTAAAGTTACGCTAAAATTGAATTTAATCATGCGTAAATGTGATACACTGACTCCTAGTTGCATATATGTGGAACTGCGCAAAATAAATGTAAATATAAAAATAAATGTGTTGTCCAGTTTACACAGCGCTCACTATAACGATTGTGTTTCTCGTCGGGCACAGGAGCTGGCAAGGCGGGAACGCTATGATCGTTTATTGGAGGCTGTCCTTGAGTATGAACCAGACAGGACGTGTCGCTAATGCGCACCTCACTGCACGAGTCCTTTCCCGACATCAGCAATTGAGACACGAGACGGCCTCGAAACCCACACAGTGTGATGGCATCGGACCGGCGCGGCGTGACAAGTCACTCGGAATTCTCAGTCAAAATTCCTCATGTTGTTCCTCGTGTCAGAGGTGGTCGCTTATATGTTCGCGTGTTGTTCCTCGTGTCAGAGGTGGGTGTTATATTTTCCGTGTTGTTCCTCGTGTAGAGGTGGGTCGCTATATGTTCCGTGCTGTTCTCTCGTGTCAGAGGTGGGTCACTATATGTTCCGTGTTGTTCTTGTGTCATACTCAGTTGCTCTATGTTCTTGCAGATCCTCATGTGAGAGGAAAGTCGCTCCATGTTTTGTGCTGTTCCTCATGCCACAGAGGTCAGTTGTTCTATGTCTGTGCTGATCCGTGAGTGAGAAGAGAGTCACTGTATGTTCGACCTTTCGGTGGCTGTTCCCGTGTCAGGAGTCAGTTGCTCTAATTTCCGTGCTGATCCTTAGCTGGAGGAGAAGTTGCTTTATGTTCCTCATAACATTTCAGAATCTACGTAGCCAGTGAATTTAATATCTAAATAGCCATTTGAAAAAAATAATTGCCTTATACTTTATAGTGTAGGCAAAGTAATTGTTTTTTTGCTTAGTTCGTGATATATAAAAGATAGGCACTGAGCAAGAATGTTAATTTTTAGCTCATCTGACATAGTCAGATGCAGTTGTAGAATCGCATGATCGTCCGTCCGTCCGTGCGAGCGTCCGTCCGTCAAACAGTTGGGCACAAATCTTAACCGCTCGACGTACGGTCACGATATTCGGCACATCGGGGGGATCGTCAAAACGAGTTGGGATGTCGAAGCGGGGGTCAAAGGTCAAGAGGTGTAAAATAAGGGGAACATTCACTCCTTAACTTAAGGTATAGGGAGGAAATGCAGAATTGGAGCAACAAATCTAAACGGCTCGACCTAGCTCGTGATAGTCGTGTATAGCATCATGGTAGGAAAGCCATCACTGTGCCGAAATTGGAGGTCAAAGGTCAATGGGCACAGGGCAGATTTTAGACATTTTCTGAGGACATGGTCTGACGGAGCGATTGAAAACTTTTTTGTTTCAACGCGTGACCTAGCATTTTATGGCTTTATTGAAGGACCATGAAATGTCCCTTCTGCTGACATGCGAAGAGTAGTGTCGATAACCTTTTGACCCTCAAGAGGAGGGTTAAACATGGATTTGTTTACTGTCTGTTGAAAGAATTTGACTGCCGGGTTTGCTAGTAGAATCTATACATGCCTGGATGTACGAGGCTACAATGTCACAGTGAAATTTCAAAAGCTAAATTTGGTTGAAGAAGGTTTATGCTCCTTAAATCCTATAATTTCTATGGCATTCTGTACTGTCAGTATTTTACATGTAACGTACTGCCACTGCCAGCATGTGTGGGTGGCTGTGTAGTTTTTGCCTGCGTTAAATTAGTTACAGGTGGCAGCTCTTATTGCAGCCTGTAGGCCTTGCGTAGGTAAATGGATGAGTGCTTACCTATTCTGTCTTGCAAATAGTTTTGCTACTACTACAATGGGAGCTTCCATCTTAATCTGAAGACACTTAAACGTACCGGCCATCTCGTGGCAACTTTCATAACGATCAACAAACATTCCTTTGAGAAGGTCCTTGATACCATCTCCTGTGCATGTTCGCACTGTTTCGGCGTGTATGTGAACACATTTGGGACTAACAGGGTTTACTAGAATCCCACCACTCCACCACAGAGTCACCGCAGTAGACGTTAGATGAGCGCTGTCGCTCCGCGGCACTTGTTGTCATGGGCTTTAACAATTGATTGAATGGTGATTTTTGCATAGAAAATACAATGTGATGTGCCAGGTTTTTGTGACAATAAATGCACATCTGTTAACAATTTTGGTTTGACATTTTCTGTAACAATTACACAGTCGAAGGCAATTAACCTGGATACAGCTGCAAAGATTCTTATGGGAGAACTCATAACAGAGAAGATAGACTTCTCCAAGTACAAAAGTAAGTTACCTCTCCTAGGACGTTAAAACGACTTTAAAAAATTTCAATGAATTTAGTTTGATACAAGAAACCTGAAGCTAAATCCTATATTATATAAATCCTATTACGTAATTAAACGTGTAAGATTTCGCAGCATGAGCTGTCCAGATTTTGCTGCGAAATCTGATATGTTTAATGCACTTAATTCTAGCTCGTTAACCTTAATTGCCTAAACATTTACCCCAGCATGTTGCCCATGCGATGCTTTCATGACCGAATTCCTTACACGTTTTTTCATCATACAGCGAAGGTGCGTCGGCTGTACGACATAGCCAACATCCTCACAAGCCTGGACCTCATTGAGAAAGTGCAAGTATCCAACGGCAATGGCAGAAAGCCTGGCTTTAAATATGTCGGACCTGACCCACAGGGTTCACCAGCTGCCGAAGGTGCGTATGTTCTCTTGTCCATCGTTTGGAATCATGTGGAGGAAAGCACAAGGCAGTATTGAGCTGAAATTTATAAATAATTAGGTTAATAAATGGTTTGATAAAACGTTTGATTCACGTGCTATTATTATTTAATATCAGGAATCTAACAAGAGAATTATCTCCTGCTACGAATTTCATCGGTGGGGATCGATCATTGCTGACTAGAGTTTACATGACCGAAATTTTAATTGGGTGCTGCAGATTTTTGGCAAACTGGCTTCTTTCATGCTTGATTTTGAATCAGAATGTTAGTGTGCAGTTAATGATAGCTTTACCTGTTTAGCCTTTTCTTTTCCCAGTAGGCATTGATAAGCAGCTTTAGGGCTACACAGTTATAATGGGGTAACACGAGACTAAGCTTATTCACAAGTTGGGATAATTTTATCCATGTTTCAATGGCAGAGAGCGTTTATAGCCAAGTTACATGGCAGTGGCACGTAACAGACCTTTGGCGTTTCACTGCATTCTCCATTCAGCTGACTTTGCCCAGAAAGCAACTTTCTCATGACGAGGTATGAAATGACGATCGCGTACGCGGTGTCACATGGGATATATTTTCTGTTACAGTTGCGAGTGTCAGGGACACGATGAACCGGCCCAGCACGCGACACTCGATGCTAGCCAGCGTGCCACATTGCAATGCCACATCGTTCACGTACACGATGCAGTCGTCATTAGCAGCCGCAAGATGTAGCGCAGACCAAGAGAACGTTGAACCAGGTTTGTCAAGAATCCCACATTCAATTGACCAGTGATTTTAGTTCACCTTGTTCCTAGCATTCCTATCGTGTTCCTTGTTCAATATACAAAAGGACAGTAGACGGTATACTTAATAGTCATGAAAATGACATGTTGTCCAGATCATCTACCTGGATAGATACTACCTATGCTGTTTGGATGATGACCAAGTCTATACTGAGAGCAAAAATTTGCGTGCACTTATTGTGTGATGGATTTTGGCATTACCAACATTATGTTGCTTTGCCACGTTATGTCAATAATTACATCGTGATATTATTGACCGCAGCACTACTTGATGATTTCATTTTCCAGCGGTGAAAAAACGACGGTTTTCTACCATCAAGATGGAAAATTTGTCCTCGGGTGCAGTGGGAGTGAATACAGTTACGAACCATACTGTACCACTGGTAAGTGCGCATCATGTGTACTTTCACGAGTCACTCTCATCATAAGTTTGGAGTGATCACGAATTGGGATACTGAAGTAATCTGTAAAGTGTACTCAATAATTTTTTTTCAACTTCGTGATAAGTGTTAGGTTAGATAATGTAACTTCATTGTTATTTTTTTCTTTTCTGTCGTCTTTGTAGGGCTTCGGTTAAGCCCGGCGCATATTTTTTGTCGACAGTCCGTCGCGCGACATCAAATTTGTTTGCTGAAACTTTGTGTCGCAGATGTTGTGTGTGCGCATACCTTGCGAGACAGTAATGCGATTATTGCGCGTGTATCACATGACTCTTCAAAAGCAGGACAATTATTGGCACCATCATATTGGATAATATTGAATTCACAATCGCTTGCGTCACAGTCACATCGCAGTCTCAGGTACACGCACGCACGCACGCATGCACACATGTACACACAGACACAATTGAATTTTGTTGACCGGCTGTTAAGCGATCGTATGCACTGGGCACTAAGCATGCATGTGCTCTTGTTTTAGTCTCGGCACTCGTCGCTGAAGGAAATCTGTCTTGTCGCCGAGAAGGAGCGGGAGAAGCTGCAAGTGAGTGCTGGGCACGGAACACAGTCCGCACCCTCGTCACCGCGCAGCTTCACACACAGCCGAACGCTCGTCAAAGGTTGGTTGAGGGTCAACGGCGTGAACTGATACCGACATGTCAGGCTTCAGTAAGAGGGCATGCCATTTGCGAACGCAAAATTTGTTTCTCTTTGTGCACAGCCAGCGATTCATTCATATCCATCACGGCCTCACAGTTTTGCACGCCACTGCAGCGTTGTTTACCTGGTGCTGTCTTTCTACAGGATGCCTAGAATCTGGGAGGGTCACAGCTGATAGAGGGACGATAGTCGTCGGGGCTCGGACTACGAAGAACCCCATTGAAATTCTCCCAAGCAAGCTCCATACGAAGAAGCCATCTGCGACTAGCGTCTGCGATCTCGCTGCAAAGCAGCTGAGGGTTGCGTCCAGCGGCCAGAAGTTGACCTCCAGCAGCAGTCAGCCGATTTACGTCCTGCAGACGAGGCCAGTGGCCGCACTGCAGTCTCTTGCGGTCGTCGTCGACGGCAAGTCTGCGGCCGGGATGCGGTGCGACACCCAGCACTGCATCGTGCTGACGAACGGTGCTCGAGCGGGCACGCTGCGACCGGTCGTCGCCGGCGGCAACGCGTCCGCTCAGCGGTCGACGCTGGGCAGCGACAAGGGGGGTGCAGGGGATTCGTACCTGATCGTTCAGCCGGTGACGCAGACGTATGGCGGGAAGGTTAGCGCAAAGACGACATTGCGGAATGGCGCCGCTTCCACCGCGGTGGTACGCGCCCGATCACAGACGACATCGCTTGAATGCGGCAGCACCAGGCTTCAGGGTCGAACAGATGCTGCGATCGGCGCGAGTCAGCAGCTACAGCAGGGGAAACCAGTGCGGGCCTCATTACTGCTGTGCAGCAACCAAACGAGGACACCCGGCACGAGCGGTGGCGATTCAACCGTGCCCGCCTCGGTCCAGTTGCAGAACCTGGTGCTGAAGCAGCAGATGGCAGGTGCTCCCAGGCATAGCGATACCGCACAACCGAGCCGGACAACGGGAGGAGGTGCAGTAAAGCTGAGCTCATCCTCCCCATCGATTGCGCAGGCAGCCCCAGGCGCTGATGTGAAGAGTGAGGTGTCACCAGCTCTGCGCGTTTTAAGTTCCCTCGGCAGCATCCTACTTACCGAGCTAAGGCAATCAGAGGGGGTTAACATCGTTACAGCTGTCAGCACCGCAGCATACAAGACGAAAGTCAAGAGTGAACAGTCGCAATCTTGCTCTAGTAGTTTGAGGTGTGAAAGCCACACGTCTGTTTCTTGTCGTGCCTCATCATACACCGGAACGCCAGACGTTTCTCAGCAGACACTGGCTGGGCAGAACTGGAAGGGCACTCCCGGACTCACATCACTACCAGTACCACCTGGCTTCACACCTGCGCCTGTTACAAGTGCCAGCACAGGTTCGCCACAGCCTGTGCCAGTGTCTGTGACTATACTGGGACCAGGACCTGTGCCGGTGTCTGAGCCTGTGCCTATACCGGGGCCAGGATCTGTGCCAGTGTCTGTGCCTATACCGGGACCAGGACCTGTGCCAGTGTCTGTGCATGTGCCAGCATCTGTGCCTATACCGGGACCAGGATCTGTGCCGGTGTCTGTGCCTGTGCCTATACCGGGACCAGGACCTGTGCCAGTGTCTGTGCCTGTGCCTATACCAGGACCTGTGCCGGTGTCTCTTGCTGGGCAGATATCCAAGCATGTGCAAGTTTCTGGGCCTGTGCCAGTGAATGGGGTTATGCAGCTGGACAAAGACACCAATCAAGTTATAATCATGCTTGGAGATCAAGGGATCACTTACGAACTTCAGGGGCTCAAGGGCGTGAAAAGGGTCGGTGTAGCAGGGAAGAATGGGGCCAGTGAAACCGTCACAGACGAGCAGCATGCTGAAGAGAATACCTCAAAGAAACTAGGAAAGGTGAGCAGGCAGTTGGATCTCGACCAACAACTTGTCAACGCCACCTCTGGAAAAGATGAGTACTCGTCGTCGTCACCTGTACGTGAGGAAGCGTCTGTCGCTGCATCGCAGCAGCAGCAGCAGCAGCAGCAGCAGCAGCAGCATCCGCCAGGTGGCGGCGGCATCATCATTGACCACCGCATCAACACCGACACAATCATAGCCGAAATCACAGACTACATGGAGGAAGCAGAAGAGACGGAGAGGCTGGAGAAAATGGCCAGGGATGAAGCCATCGACTTTGATTGCTGGTCGATGGCAGCGGCATCAGCAGCCGAGCAATTGACGGATATGGTGGATGGCACTGTGGGTTGCAGTTTGCCGAAAGATGCCTACCACTCGGCGGTCGCCGCTACAGCACCGCCAGTTCACGGCACATGGGATGGCGCAAACATCCGTAAAGTTGAGGGCATCCTGTCATGTCTTTCGTCCGAGTTTCGAGACGGAAATTCGGCGCACAAGCGAGCGAGCGACGACTTTAGCGTGGAGGAGGCGGCGGCGGCGCTCCCTGACCAGCGGCGGTCGGAGATGCAAGAGGAACTGGAGGAGCTGCTATCAGACATTTCCGGCAGCTCAACGTCGCACCACATGATGGACTACGACGTTGACGAGTCGATCTTTGTGGATTCTCTCAGCGAGGAGTTGACGCCAGTGAAGCTGCATTCCTCTGATAGGTCGCCCGCCCGAAAAGACGGGCGGGCTGGCCGTGTCACTTGGCACCCCGGTCACGAAGAGTCGCCACTATACCCCACAACTCCGCATACAGCTCGCGCGATGCACATGGCACAGGTGCACAGAGATGCAGATCTTGAGATGACTCAGGGAACACCGATGAAGTCAGGCAGATTCGGGAAACCGTTCCACGCCTGCAACGCGGCACAACAAGGTAAGTCAATAATGTGAAAGCATAGAGAGGGAGCGAAAAGGAAAGCTCTCGGTGTGCTGAGCTACGATTTTGATTCGTAAATTTGTTCGGCACGTGCGTGATGTGGTTTACGAGGTTGCGTCCTTTACAAGGTTTGTGAGGCCGTATTCAGAGTGTGAATGTTTACTGTTGCGAGAATGCAAACATCGTTGTGAATTCTCTACTTCCTTCCCAATTGCAGCACCAAGTGGCGGACAAAAGACTATGCGTAGATTGGAGAGCTATGTGCAGCCTACCACACAAGGGATGAGTCACGTGTCGAAAGAGCAGCGATGATATTATGGTGCAAACAATGATGCCGGTGTTTATCGTCCAAATACCCTGCGATACACCGAAAGACGGCTGGCGAGTTTAACGTCTCGTACTACATGTAATCAATCACATGTAGCGTAGAGTCATGTTACCCTGCAATTATCTAAGTGAGTCGCCAGGGTAGGCTGTGTCGGTTAAGTTTACGATGTCTGTCTACTGAGATTGCTGCAGTTTATTGGTCAAGTAATAATGAAGATTCAGCCATTTATTCTGTAAGTGTATAGAGTATTAATATAATAATATGAGGGTTTCCATGTTCAATTAATAACATGGCGAGGCTGGGAAACCAATATCTTGAGTGCGTATGGCCATTTACCGACCGCTTTCATTTATGCCGATGCCTGCAATCATATGTAGTGTTATATATAATATATATAACTTGTCAGTGTGTGTTAAAGTAACCGTAATTTTCAGATAAAGCGAATTTTTACCACTTTTCTTACTTACAACTTGCAATTTTTATCTTAAACACAAAGAAAAGGCATGAACCACTTAAAATCAGCAAGCAGTGTATACACTCTCTATGGATACACTCTCTATGGATATAGGTCGTTTCCTTGACAGTTAGGAGGCTCAATCAACAACTTGACATTGCATCACAACAAGCATTGGTTAGTTGTTTAATTTTACTTTTATTTTTAAGTGCAGCTGGTACAGCTCATCCTCATGAGATTTTATTCAGATTTTGTTAGGAAATATATAATATTGTTTAGCAGTAAACTTTATTACACATAAGGAATTTTTTGAGTAAGATGCTTAGTGACTTTAGTAGTGTTAGTATCAAGGAAGTGATGGTGGTAGGAAGGGTCTTTACTTTTATGCAAAATTTATCCGATATAAAGCAACATAGGGTTATACGTTTACGTGTATATGTGTATACACCTGCCTATGAATGTATATATATCTTTTATCATTATTATATTATAACCCAGGAGCACAATGCTCCTTATGCGTTTCTGTTCAGTTGCTTTACTGAATGTATCGTCTGTTGTAATAACATGGGGTTTCATTCGGCAAGCTGATGTCCGATTTTTATGGATTCGCTGGTACTTGCATTGAAAGCTAGGCTCGTTATAAAACAATCAGGTTCGAAATGAGAAATTAAATTTACGAGGTTGCAAAATAACGTTCTCTGTCTTGTGTTGGCTTATGCAACTTTGCTATCTTTGCATTGTCCGTATTAGGCGGTAATGGCCAAGTACATGATGACAACTGCTGAGACATGTGCAAACAGCGCAGTTGCTAGAGCATAAGTAAAGCGTAAAGAGGCGGGCACACCACATTAGTAAACCTATGTGGTTGTGCACTCCTCATAGTGTTCAGAAAATGCTACTGCGCCCGGTAGTTGTAGCTATGTGTGACATTTATAGTAATTGTATAATATACACCACTAAAGCAAACACGAATTTATTACGTGTTTATGTATAATGTTATGTGTGTTTACCTGTTATTTCAACCTCCCGAGTCATCGTACTGATGACTGATAGCAGAGGTTGGATGGGTTAAACATTGGCTGTGCACAGCACAACACAGCAGTAAACATTCAGCTATTATAGCAGCTATTATAGCAGCTATTTTATATGAGATGTGTTGCCCACTGACAACACAGCAATCAAAATGCAACACTACGTGGCTATAATCAGTAGTGAATGAGTTTTTATTCACTCCTGTTATAATCAATATATTTACATGGACACACATTGTAACAAACCTGTTCAAATATATACAAACTAACAAATTATATTCACAATCGATTTTCTCTAGCTATAACATCACCCGCTATATACCCCCTACTATACGTGCACGCACAGAACGACAATGGCGTGGATAAGGGATGGGCTCATTCAATCAGCTCAGTTGCTGCATATATATATATTATATATATACATACAAAGACGTCATATACAGAGACATATGTATGGTTGCACAACTACAGACTCGCGGTAAGGAAACTGGGTCACTCAAACTCGAGCAATAATCATGAAGGCAGACGCCGCCCATCTCGAAATCTGATAAAACGCCCACCGATCCACACTCGGGGACGACCGATAAATAAGGTCATCACTGTGTGCCTGCCTCATCACCTCCCCATCTCTCCCCTCCCTAACTACCCTTGCACCCCGCCTCCTCTCTTGGCAGTGATCGCGTGCAGTCGGTAGAAACGCAGGTGTGATGCACCCTAGGGCACCAATCAGACTCGCTTTATGCTGCCTGATGAGAACACGCCTAAAGCAAAACTAACAGCGCTGCCGTCACTAAACGCTTAGACATACGCCCACGCGGTAGACGGAAGGCTTGGCTCAGCCTCTGGCAATACGAACGATTGTTCGATATTGCCGCGTTGTAATAATGAGGCCCATTGCAGCAATATATATCACGGACATCCACTCCATTATTTGTGCTGTGAGAAGTAGGATTGGGACCATAGCAGTAGCATATTCAACAATGTCAGACAATTCAGCCTGATGGCTTAGGATAACTGCAGGCCTGATGGCTATTCCATCGGCTTAGCAGCTGCTGGAAACGACAAGACTAGCAGACAAGTATTGACAGAAAGCACCCTTGTTACCTTTCACACTACCTCCATTATTGTATCCTATATTAATGTATACTTGTTCACCTAGATTATGTGTGTAATTAAATGAGCACAAATCCTGTCATTGCAATCAGTTCGAAATCGGGATGGAAAATTAATGTATGTACTAACCCACAAATTGATTCCTCCACAATGAGAAATTAATTTTTTAACGATATATTTTGAACATAAATTCTTCGTACTGTGGGAAACTATCGTATAAAAGTTCAATGGCTAACGTGAGACAGTATGTCCGTTCTCAACACTGAGATGACAATCTATAGATTATATAACGAATAGAACGAAGCTAGCACTGCACCAGTTAGAAAGCGACAAACTATAATTACAGGGATACTCACCAGGAGATTGAGCTGTCGAGAAAAAAGTCTATATTTACACCCGATTAATTTAATCTGGATGGAAAATTACATTCAGGAGGTATTCAGAATCATGTGTGTGTGAACTGACTGAAATTTCAGAGATGAGCTGAGCCAAGACAGAAATAATGCAATCGTGAGTGATTATACACAGGTGGTAAAGAAACATGCTTACTTTGGTATCAGTCACAGGCACTTGGGACAGAGTCAGTAAAAACCGAAAATAATATGAACGCACATTCACAAATACTACTGTACGGTGTACCTCTCAATTACAGTTCCACTGTTGTGTCACTGTATATCAACTTTTCTTCATAAAAACCAACACCGAACGCTCCCGCACTCGCCGCTGCGAGTGTGCTGTGGCGCCATGATAATATATATATAGAGTCATATATATATATATATCATCATCTCTATATATATATTATCATGGCGCCACAGCACACTCGCAGCGGCGAATGCGGGAGCGTTCGGCGTTGGTTTTTATGAAGGAAAGTTGATATACAGTGACACAACAGTGGAACTGTAATTGAGAGGTACCACCGTACGGTAGTATTTGTGAATGTGCGTTCATATTATTTTCGGTTTTTACTGACTCTGTCCCAAGTGCCTGTGGTATCAGTAATCTGTTTGGTGCAGGCAAGTAAATTCCCCTAATGCTGTGCAGATTCTATAACCAGTGAATCTGGCTTAAAACAACCGTTCCCCCGATGAAAAGCAGTCATAAATGTTCATACACACACACGTACACTACCATTTCTTGATTGCCACATAAAAATGTATCCAAAAAGCCATATGTTTAGCAGAAACAAGTCTTGTAAATTAAGAAATATGGTTCACAAAATACAAACCACCATGTAAACATATAAATTTGTTTGAAATTTACTTGAGTGTGAACAGACGGCACAGCAACAGTGCCATCGGGGTCCAGATCACTACACGATCACTAATCTATGACAATAACTTTAAACAACGACGAAATAACTTTTCTTTTTAAAAATCCAGAGTTAAGTAGCATTCAGAAAGTACTAATCGTTTACTGATTTACTTTTGGTAATAGATTTTGGCACAATGATATGAATCACGGATTATTTATGTACTATGTATTTTGTATGCCTTAATGACGCCCACAAATATGTATGTAGAGAGAAGTCGAGTCACTCTGAAGTCACTGTGGAAATATCAGCGTGGCACGCCTTTCCCCGATGTAAACATTGAATGCACCCGAATGAAAGATTTAAACAAGCAAGCTTTTGTGTCGAGTATATCTGATCAAATCATTGTTATGCACACAAAGATTGCATAAAATATTGCTTTGATTTGATACATTAATGGATTTTGGGGAAAAACAGCAACAGATGTTCTTCCTAGGTTCATACAAACACTGCTGTTAGAACCAATCGTTATTCACTTACATGTTATTTCATGGGTGAATGATGATGATGAATGGGTGATGGGTGACCTGATGTTTGATATGGCAGCATCAGCAGTACAAATATCCATTTACAAATTTGATCATTGTATGCTAGATGTAAGTGTGACTAACACATGTTATAAGAAGAACAGACAAGTGAAAAAATTTTACATGAGTATTTTATGATTTTCCACCCGGGCTAAAATGTATCACTGAAATCAGGCCTGCGCCTAACAAATTCAAACTTCGATTATCAAAGAATTAGTTATCTGCTATCTGCTGATGTATAACATCTAAACCATCTATAACATAATGGCAATGTAAGCTGGCAATTTCTCGTATCCAAATTGCAACCAGGCAGTTCAAGGCAGAGAAGTTGTCAAGCATATTTTTACCAGGAATCAATCACTGAATGATGAGGTGCTATTGTCATCATCAAAGTCAGAGTCATTCTCTTCTTTAGATGTGGCGACGGGGGCTGGGGCATTAGGCGTCCTAAGTGAAAATAAAATGTGCAAATTTGTGGCAAAATATTATTGATATTCACAATAGTACTGCAGCCGCGGCATACTCTTTACATCGTAATTCAAACATTTAGCCGTGGTTGGCCCCAATTGCTTTTTTATTTGTTTTTGAACATGTGCAAATCATAACTTTTTTTCTACAAACCAAATTATAGAGCTAATTAAAGGGAGAGTTTACTCTAGGTTCTAGGGTTATTTTCAGCTAATTTAGGTTATAATTACGCTACATAAAAAGTTTCATGGTTTAATCACCATTAGAAATATTATTAAAAAATGTTTTAAAACTAACGACTACATGCAGTTTGATTACAACGACGGTGGCGCCACTCAAAGCGATCTGATAAGTTGCGTAGTAGACTCTAGGATTTTACTACATACAACTGTACTTACTGTATAACAAATCGTCCATACCCACACGTATTTGTTACCAGATACCTAATTTAATTGTTATAATTAATTACATATCAACGCTACGAAATTTGAAAGGCACCATGGCACCCGCGACCGTGCTGCCACCCCGAAAAAGTTGCGTATTTGACAATTTATTTTGCACGTTACAGACTGAGGGCTAATCACAAAAGTGCAATTATATTTATACCTAAATGCTATTTAACCGAACGATATTCATTTTAGGGCAAATTTATCCATATTATAACTGAAACTATATGTCGTTTATAAGATATTACAATCCTTTTGCTTTTAAATTAATAAATAAGAAACACCCTCAGTCTGTAGCCCTAGGCTGAAAAGTGGTTTTTGTGCAAATTATCAGATCGTGCGCTTTGAGTGGCACCACCGTCGTTGTAATCAAACTGTAGTCGTTAGTTTTAAAACATTTTTTAATAATGTTTCTAATGGTAATTGAACCATGAAACCTTCTCTGTAGCGTAATTTTAACCTAAATTAACTGAAAATAACCCTAGAACCTAGAGTAAACGATCCCTTTAAAGTAATATTTACTCTATCAGGCTAGCATCTAGTCCTTCCATATGCATTTTGACTTGGACAGCTGGTACAGGAACACCCTAGAAGAAAAAGCGATAATGATTTCATGGGATCACCTCAGCGCATGTTTAGCAAGGACACCACGACAAGGTGTTTTATCTTCGTAATTGTGTATAATACCTGGCCATTTATTTGGTTAAAAAATTAACTCATTTATAAAAAATTCACTTACCACTTGCACCATTCTGAAGTACTTTGCATATCGTGGGTCTTTTGCTACTGAATTCACTGGCTCTGCCTTTTGGGCCTCTTCCTCTTGAGTAACAGCTGCTGTCATAGGCTCTGCTGCTGCCTGCTCCTATTTTAAATTGAAAGAAAAGGAATAAATTAATGTTACCGAGTTGGTGGCAGTCATGCAGTCATGCAGTCATGCAGCCTGGCAATTATTTGGACCTGTGAAGTATGACTTGTATTTTAGATATAAATATGCAAGTGTACGTGGATGACAACAAATATGTTCAGCCCTACATTCATATTTCATCAATAGGTTTTCCTCAAAATCAGTCTTGTGACCAGACTAATGATTGGTTTTATTATTCCAGCATGATTTATAATGTCGCACTGATATGTTTACCTGTGGTTGAGTAACTGTTCCTGAATTTTGTGTAGCAGTAGGAGTAGCAGCCACAGGTGCTGCTGCCAATGTGACATCGTCTAATCCGGGAATTGAGGCAAGCTACATATAAACGAAATGTGTATAGATGCTACATTGACTGCACAAGGCAAACAACAATAACAACTGACATAAATCCTTTAGCCATGACAATTGGTTTAGAGATCCATATAGAGTCTATTTCCCAATTCCCACTATGGGAAATTTCTTATTATCAAGGCACTGACTAAGAATTTTTATACATGCATTTTTCATCTGTTTGCTATCACATGTAATGTTAATGTGCTTTATGTTAAATTCGTTCATTGGTCAGCAAAGCAACTTCATCTGGCCAACTGATAGACTTGTTGACTAGATTCATGAATTCCAATATTTTGCTTCCACATTCACACTCTTGTACATTATCCCATTCTAGGTGGCCCCACAAGAAACTATGGAGTGAGTCTATTTTAAAAGTCTAAATAGGAAATGGGAAAAAGAAAACGGGTACACGCACGTGCACGCGGGTACACGCACGTGCACGCGGGTATACACGCACGTGCACGCGGGTACACGCACGTACACGCGGGTACACGCATGTACACCCTTCCTTTTCCTTTTCCCATTTCCTATTTAGACTTTTAAAATAGGAAACGGATCAGAAACCCATTTCCCATTTCCTATTTAGACTTTTAAAATAGGAAACGGATCAGAAACCCAATTCCCATTTCCTATTCTATTTTCTATTTTCATTTTAAAAATAGGATATAGGTCAGAAACCCATTTCCTATTTTCAACGTCAAATGGGAAAACAAACTAACGGTATGTACCGTGATTTATCAGCCAAAATATCGCGTTTGTAAAAACAAGAGCCGCAGAGCGTCTGTGCTCATCTGAGGTCTGTTGCTACGGTTATAAACGTAACATTTAAGTCATGCGTAGTGACACCTTTGTTAGGTGCAGATATGCAGATACGCAGTTGCATACACATCATTTCAGCAACCTTCTGCATTCTGCATACCTCCCAAATCCCATTGGTTGATACAAATCGCGTGCCTAAAAGTTAAACTCCCGTTTTATGGTGCATTGTGGCCCTAACACTAACCCTATTAAAAAATAAAAATAAATTAATTGTTTTAAAAATTATTTGTTGTTATTAAATTGTTGTAAATAAATCATGTAAATATTTGCGTTAATTGGAAAAATATAGTTAAATAGATAAAGATAAAAAAATACAGAAAACAGATAAATAATGAAAAATCTGATGGGATTCAATCCAATGACCTTTGAGCTGTAATACTGTGCTGTACCCGTTCGGCTATCCAGGCTTATTGGCTTTCTAGATTATGGATGTGCCATGAATATGAGAACACTGTGACATCATTGAGGCAGTTCAGGAATCCATGTTTAATCCTCCTCTTGAGGGTCAAAATGTTATCAGACACTTACTCTTCGCACGTCTGATATCTGACCTTTTCCCCACTGCCCTTTGACCTGCGACCTCCAATTTCGCATTGGTGATGGGTTTCCTACCCATCACACTATACACCGAATATTAAGAGCATAGGTTAAGCCGTTAAGATTTGTGCCGCATTTCCGTATTTCCTCCTATACCTTAAGTTAAGGGGGAAATAGCCCCCCTCCGTTTACACATCTTGACCTTTGACCCCCAAATTTGTCATCCCGGGTCCTTTTCACGACCCCCCCCCTCGACGTCCCAAATATCGTGACCGTACGTCGAGCGGTTAAGATTTGTGCCCAACTGTTGACGCACGCACGCACGCACGGCCGGATGGCCGGACAATCATGCGATTCTACAAGCTGCATCTGACTACATCAGATGAGCTAAAAAGAGACGGGTCTAGAGTAATACAGTTCTTACAAATAATAAAATAAATTGTAGGTAAAGATTGTGGTAAAACACCGTATAACTGTAAGCATAAAAGGCTGGTACAAACCTTAGTTTCTAGAAGAACCATTGTAGTCTCTAATCGATGTATCTGCTGGGACAGGTCTGATAACTTGGTCTCGCATATACCAGAAAAGTGGTTGAGAAAATTCACCGTATACGTGACAAAACTGTTCATATACACGAGAAGATTTTTCTGATGTATAGCACCAACCTAGGCCAAATAAAATGATAAAGGCTCAATCACTTAAAGCTCTGGCAGTAAAAATCACACCACACAGATAAAGACATCCACACATCCATTTATCTACAGAGGTACGAATAAAAGTAGTGTGTATACTTATCATACACTACTAGAATTGGAAATGCACCTGTATAAACCATGTCTAATCCAATGACAGATAGACAGACAGAGACAGAAGGATGGACCGACAGACAACATGCATGCGTCTAAACATAGGAATTGCTCCGACCTGTGATTGGAGGATAAAAATAGACCCCGCCCACTCCCACTGCATACGTTATTATGCTATGACCGGTAGGAACGTGTACTAACTATCAGATGGAGCGAACGATTTGAGTTACATTTCTATAAATTCTAGCTATTATAGACACATGTCTTAGCCTTAATCTCTGTGAATTTTGAGTCTATTGAAGCACGATTACGGATTAGTCTAATTAATTAGCAAATATGCACGCGCGGTATCGCTCATAGGCTATGACCGGTGAAACAAAACATCACAAATTATATTTTTATCCTCCAATCATAGGTCGGAGCAATTCCTCTGTTTAGACATGTGACAGATAGAGACATAAGGACGGACCTACAGACAGACAGGCAGACAGAGAGTCATATATAGATAGGCTGTGAGCAGGATGTAACACGTACACTACCGATATTATTAGATGAATAGATATATTCGAGGCCATCCATAAAAAAATTCTGTTTGCTGTCCTCCGACCCATTTCTTTAGTGGGTATAGGTATAGGTAGGTCTTTTTTTTTGGTGAGGCATAATGGTTATTTTAAGTCTGTCCTCATGTTTGCCACACATGCTTTGTGTTTCAGTCTTAACTATGCAAAATGTAAAAAAAAAAAATGGAACCCAAAATGTAAAAAAAAAATTGGGGTCGCGGCTATTTTCGTGGGTCAGTCAGAGGACAGCAAACATATAATTTTTTAAAGATGGCCCGAATCTAAATTATAAATACAATGACTCTGTCAGTGTCACTTAGATACAATAATGTAACCCAACACAAGAGTAGGGTTACAACGCGAGCCTATTCTTTTCTTTGGAGGAGCCCCGGAGTGATTCACTCAGGGCGGTTTTATGGTGCATTTTTGGAGACTAGAACTTCCAAACTGGGTTTATTTTAAACACAAACCTTTCTCCGCTATCCTGTGACTTTATGTATCACAATACTCTGTATTAAACTAATATAAGTTAACCTGTTACAAAATTTCGAAGCGACGAGCGGCGATATTTTGAGCGCCATTTCTGGTGACCTGTGACGCTGGCTTTCCCAATGTGCATAGCGATCGGCAAACTTCGGTTTGAAGAACGGATTCACAAACCAATCGGAAGGCTCGCAGCGCACTAAAGCTGACCAAAGTTTGCCGATCACAAAATAACATAACAGGTTATATTAGTTTAATACAGAGTATTGTGATACATAGTATTAGTAAGTACCAGCTAGGATAGCGGAGAAAGGTTCGTGTTTAGAATAAACCCAGTTAGGAAGTTCTAGTCTCCAAAAACGCACCATAAAACCGCCCTGAGTGAATCACTCAGGGGCTCCCCCAAAGAAAATAATAGGCTCCCGTTGTAACCCTACTCTTGTGTTGGGTTATATTATTGTATGACAATGTATCTAGTGACAGTGTCACTGAGTATGACATTTATTTACTTTGGTGAAATCGACACCATGTCCAACTATTGGTAAACCATCAGCGTCCATTTCGATAACTACTTTGCAGCATTCGAACCCTGACACACAAATGTGCACAAACTGTGTATAAATGATCGCAAAAACAATTAACTTAGGCGTACTCTACTTTCTAAAACCTAAAGCAGTTCACGTTTCCTGTAAATCTCAGCTGTAAATAAATGTACACACGTGGCAGTGTTGCAGTGGTGCGACAACCGTTTCCTGCGGATGTGCTGCCACAGTGTGTAGTGTGTAAACTAAAGAGGTTTCGCATGTATGGACCATAGACATCCTATTATAATACGTTCCTATTCATTATATCCTATTATAACATCCTATTATTCATGACATCCTATTATAATAAGTTAGTTAGATTTCTATGGTATGGACTCTCGAACGCTGCTGTTAGTGGTGATAGCTGTAGTTGGTGATTATTACCCCCATCCATACTAGAAGTAGGCCTAGATATAGAAAAATGCGGTTGAAGAAGAAAACGCGAAGACGAATAGTAAGAACTTGTTATTTGCAGATTGTGTAATGACATAAATCTCTACAAACAGAGTAGAATATCCCCCAGAAGTTGAACGAAGACTAGAGCGAAAGAGCTAAATGTGAAAATGAAGAAGGAGAAGAAGAAGAAGTGAAGACCCTACACGCAAGCTGCTAGGCATAAACAGTACTCTACTGTAAGCGAGGAAATCTCATACTTCCTAGAAATAAAATTTGTGCGATGAGTATGAATCGCAAAGGGTCGGCTTAATTGTCTGCAAAGCACACGATATATAGCTTTGAGAAACCAGCCAAGTTGAGTCGCAGAGACAGATCCCAGTATTGCTACGAGTTAGGGGCCTACTCGACAACGTTCCCAAAACAACGAATGGGAATTCGCTGAAAGTAGCGACATAGGCGCATGAAAGCTGCCTTGCAAGCAATCCTACTAACAAACAACCCTTTGATCGATGGCTTATGGCCTGGTTGGGTTTCGCGCAACCAGAAGGTATGGAATGGTCGGTCACTCGCGCCACCTTAATTAGTTATCTAGACCGAATAGTTAGAATAAGTTCTATCAATGACATTGGTGCCGTAGAGAGACTTTCGCGGTCTATGCTAGATAAGTAGGTAGCTTGGTATAAATAGGAGTGCGCTTCTTTTAATAGATTCCGTGCTAGAGAATCTGTTAGTGCTTGATATACGGGGTTCTTATTTATTTTCATTTTCCTGCGTTTTGCACGGTAAGTTTTTACCTACAGCACACACACACACCACACACACACACAACACACACACACACACCACACACGACAAGCACACCACACACACCACACCAACACACACACACACGAGGATGAGAGAGATTAGGAGAAGAGAGCGAGGAGGGACGAGAGAAGAGAGGAGAGCGAGGAGGAGGAAAAGAGAGAAAGAAAGGAGAGAGGAGAGAGAGACGAGAGAGGCGAAGACGGAAAGACCTGATGAGAGAAAATGCGGACGAGAGAGAAGATGAGGATGAGAGAGAAAGAGAGAGAACGAGAGAGACAAAGGATATGAGAAAGGGAGAGGGATATTAGTGTTTTTCCTTAACAATTCATGTAATCTTACGTTTTCTATTTAATTTCTTGTCTATTGTCTTCTTCTTTTTAGTTTTCTACAGTTCTTCTACCGAATTGAAACGTGCTTGATATACGGGGTTCTTATTTATTTTCTGCGTTTGCCGTGTAGAGTTTTCACACACAGCACACACAGATCGATGGAGGAGAGAGGAGGGAGCAGAGAGAGAGACGAGGGAGAGAGAGAGGAGGGAAGAGAGAGATAGATGGAAAGATACGAGACGACACAGAACGCGGGCGGCCGGCGTTCGGCGTGGGAGAGGCTAGGGGCCCGTGGCGCGGTGTAGATATGGACGGGGGGCGGGGTGGGAGGAGAGAGAAGAGATGATTTTGAGACAACGATGAAGAGAAGAGAGAGAAAGAGAGAGAGAGAGAGAGAGAGAAAGAGAAAGAGAGAGAGAGAGATATTAGTAGTTTCTTCCTTACAATCTCATAGTAAATCTTACGTTTTCTATTATTTCTTGTCTTTGTCTTCTCTTTAGTTTCTCTGCAGTTCTTCTACACGAAATCTATGTGTGTAGAGCGAAATTCGCGTCTACGCCATATTTCTGTTGTTTGTGCATAGTGGTGTGCGTGCGGTGAAATCGTGTATTGCAGAAGAGCATTTAGAAGGCATTTACAGGAAATTATTACTAATGATAGACGACAGAGAGTAGAGAAACACTAAGAGTTTGGTAGTAAATACATTTCATGTGTGTTTACCATTATTTTATTATTGAAACATTCCATATGTGCCCGTGATCGTGTGCGCATGTGCGTAGCAATTACGCGGCGCACGAACGTCACTGTCATAGACTATGGTAATAATCAAGAGCTAATAATATCAGGAGTAAGATAATATAGAATCTATATTATCTTACTCCTGATAATATGCCTACGATAAAATGACGCAGCATTTTCAAAATTCTTGTGGAAGCACATACATGCGCACGCACACACATACGATACGCACACGCGCGTAAAAGGTCTTATTTGAAGCTGGTTCGCGCTGTTGTCCTAGTCTCAGGCGTGTTAGTCGTATACGTGCATCCGTTACTTGGTGGCAAGTAAGGTTATAATAACAACAATCAGAAACATGGAAATACATTCATTTACGTACCTATTTCTATGAGCAACAATTTGCGCCTTTTGGCTGTATGTTGTGAACGCGTGGTTATTGGGATGGGGTGTTCGAGCCCTCCCTCCTAACTATGGAGTGCGCTTCTGTCGGCGTTATGTCACGTTATCATTCATGCATGCATGGGATTCATTGATCATATCAAGAGTACATAATAGAGATATAATAGAGACATAATAGACATAAATTATATAGACATATATAGACATAATAGAGACATAATAAGAGTACTGTACATAATATGCGTTTGATCGCATATAATTATTGTTTTGACGCGCTAGCATGTTGTTGTGTCGCAATGAACAAGGGGTTGCGCGCCGCGCTCTCCGACAGTGTAACCTAGCTGGCGGGGAAGCGGGGAATATAATTTGTGCTCTCGTTGCTATTATCTTGTCAACGTAAATGAGCCGATTATACGAGTAGTGAACGCAATTTTGCAGGATGTCATATATTTTTATTATTTTTATTATATATTATAATTTTTACATTACATTATACATTAATTTTTATTATATATTATATATTTTTATAAACATATATGTTTATTTCAGGTAATATAATTTACCGGGGTTAGGGTAATCTTTGCACATAGGTATTCTATAGAGCCCGCATGCTAGAGGTGGGTATTTGGTAGACCCCACTCACACCCCACCCTGTACAGGACAGATTCCTATTTCTATTAACACAATATTGGTATTGCCTGTTAGTACCCTGTATGTAGGCCCTGAACGCATGTACGAAGAAATATAGTAAATGCCTGTTAATCGAGCATTGAAACATTACTCGCGAAAGACATCGTAACAATTTTGAGGCTTTGATTTTTAATGCAAAACAATTCATTAGCATGAAACTGAGAGCATCTAGAATGTAGATGCTTGGAATGTTGGCGGAGTTAAAGTATGTGGAGGGATTTGACGTATTTATCTCCCAATCATCTTGCTAGCTGTCATTAATTTGTTTTGTTTTAAGGACCATCTAAGCCTAATTTAGAATTGGTATGGCCTACAGCTCTGAAATGGTTTCAGTCCAAATCAAAAAATCAAGTGGAATGGTATACCTTTGACGTAAAACAAGCTACCTATTTGAAACCAAACAAATGAACAGCGAGAACGTTTGACATTCAAACGGTGGATTCGCGACCACTACGGGTGGTCGGATTCCCCGGACTCATGAGGTTAAGCCCCTAATGAGTAACAACAACAACAACAACAACAAAAATCGAGCATCCATTTCTATAGGTTAGTAGCGCTCTTGTTCTCTGCTTGTGCAGTTTCTCCATGGCAGTTGACGTACCACTCGTGTTTCGATTTTAAATCTCATTGGTTGACAATAATTTATTTTATTGTTGTTATCAGACATGGTGTACTTTACTTATGATGCACGTTGAAGAAAGCTGCGACGGATATCTATTCCCGAAAACGTGAGTAATGACATGCTAGATAATATATACGAGATGTAAGAGTTACAATATGATTAATTTCTTACTGAGGATGAAATATGAGGCTCAATATGATTAATGGCATACTTGGGCTTTCAACTGGCATGGTATTGACGTCTTGCAGTCAATTTGTCAATTGCACGTAGTCTTTAGTCCACGGTGACTTATGCTGACATTATATCCAATAGAACATTTTGATTAAGCTTAAAATCCCGGATGCGCTCCAGGCTGTTGCTTTCATGTATATATATATCCCACTACGCACAATAGGCCTATATTACGTAATAAATATAAAGATTTATCGAGCTCGCGCTTCCTGTCTGCAGCCACTCGGGGCTGTAGAGTGAAAATTATCGTCTATTGAAGTCTAATTTATAACAAACCGCTTAAGTTATCACATTACAGCAATTTCTGTTTACATAAGTTCGCGCTGTGCTACAACCGCTCTTGTGTGGTGCTGTGACGGCGTATAGCGATCTACTTGAGCTTAGACGCAGAGGATCCTGCTAGTAAACGTATCGTAGCAACGCAGGAGCGCTGCGCCGTCTGAAATCATCGTTGACAGTGATGGTTACACGACGTGCTACTACCGTCGTGAAAATGCAGCTAGTAGCCACGGACGCCCGTTTCACTCTATAGATAGTCGCCGCGTTTGTCACAGAACTGCAATTTTATTATCACAGCTGAGCCGACTACGTTTACGACTTACGTTACTAGCTAGGCTTTCTGAGCAAAGCCCAATTGCGTTCCTCGCGTGCTGGTTATAGATATTAAATTAAACGCAACCTCTCGACGCTGGCATGCGCACTCGAATTTTACGATATTGTCAATGACTCGGAGTAATTGTAAATTTTTTTGTTTTGAATGTCAAGTGCCCATGTAACGCCCACAATTGTCTGCAAACTGTCTCATTCGGTGTTCCCCCTTCTACCTATAATAAAGTTTACACGAGTAGGCTGCCATACAGAATACCGCGTTGTCCAGCTACCATAACACGTACGACGTCAGTGATCTCTCTATATGCAGCA